AGATGTGGCTCACTATTTGCTCAAACAAACGAACAAACCCCATAGCATAAACATGGTTGCTACCAATGCAGCCTTGGCTGGAAGTGATCTGTAAAGGCCAAGATATGCTTCTCTCAATCCCAGTGTGGCAGTGAACAGGATTTGGTATGATAAGAAGCTAATAAGACATTAACAAAAGTAGCTATGCCTTGATTCATAATATCACTGCCCTGCATTATTCTAGGAATGTTCATCCCGGGCTTTAGATGTGATTTATAAACTTTAATTAAATAAGCCTCTCGGAACCCCTTGTTGGAAATGTAGAGTTGGTTCTAAAAAACTTGAATTAACTGAGAAATAATTGAATAAAGGTTCATATGGGATAAGCTCTCCATTTTGCAGCAGAAGACACAGCTTTAAATGTTGCCTGGATTGTAGTTAGTAAAGGAAACATGAGAAATAGCTCAAGGTCATTCAACAAGACCATGGAAGAAAACCCTTGGGAGCTGACTGCGTACAGCAGGGTGTGCTCATGTTGCTTCTCACTCTTTGCTTTTTGTTGACTTATTGGAGATAAGTTAACTGTAGAATGTCTTTCCTCAGGAAGGTCTTTGAGAATATTTGAGGGATGTATTTGTGTGTATTTTATATCTACCTATATATTAAAAAAATTTGCTTTGAAATATTTGGGTTCTTCTTAAGTCATCAGTAGCAGTAATACATTGTAATATCTGTTTAGGTCTTGGAGTGTGAGCTTGTTCTTAGGCTGTCAGAAGAGGATGGGGCTAACGGCTGTATCCGTCCCGTTCCCATGAACGCAGCTGTGTGTGCTGTGCGTGTCGTATGTCACATCTACTAGTGGTCGTGGAGCAGTGGGGCACGCGTGCTGCGGGTCAGGTACTCTGAGTGGTCAGGAATCGTCACCTGTCCGGGAGGGTGCTGTGGAGTACTGACAACTACAGTTCGGACATCAATACCCTGCTTATATACACATCTTTTAATCTGGCCCTGGCTGTCTGGGATGCTGCTGTTCCTGTGAGGTAAAGTGTTATAAACTGACTTTATCTTGCTTGGCGTTGTGAAAAGGCATAAAGTAGAGGCAGTGAAGTTATGGAAGTTGTGCCCTGGATTGCCGGTGTTCCTGTTAGCGCTGCTTGTTTCAGCATTTGTGTCTCTCTGATCCAGATCTGAAGAAGACTCCTCATCCTTCAGAAGTAGCATGCTCACAGTCTTCCTGGCCAATGATTCTTCTACAACAAGCAGGACTTCTTCCTCATCCTGAGAAGCCTTCATCTCTTCCTATGTCAGTGGCTACAAGGCCAAGACCCAGCTCACCACTGTCCCCACCAAAATCTCTCGGACTGGGGCCATCCTTTCATCACACACAAGAAGAAGAGCTTGCAAAGGTGGTGGAGCAGGACCCTATGCTGGAAGAACTATGTAAGCCTCTGTGCTGTAAGCTTTGCAATGTCACTCTGAATTCAGCACAACAAGCCCAGGCTCATTACCAGGTAAGGAGAGGAGCAGGAGGCATGGCTTCCAGGGCTGCTGCATCTGCAGCTTGTGTAGAGATACCTGTGCCGGTGTGTGCGCTGCCGGTAGCATTGCTCTGGTAGCACAGAGCAAAGTGTGGGCTAATGAGGAAGAACTTCTTCCCTCTGAGAGTGACGGAGCACTGGAACAGGCTGCCCAGGGAGGTTGTGGAGTCTCCCTCTCTGGAGATATTCAAGACCCACCTGGACAAGGTCCTGTGCAGCCTGCTGTAGGTGACCCTGCTTCGGCAGGAGGATTGGACTAGATGACCCACAGAGGTCCCTTCCAACCCCGAACATGCTGGGATTCTGGGATTCTGTGATTCTAATGCACGAGGACTAACTTAGCTTCGCAAGGGGGTTTTTGAGTGCTTTGGTGAGGTGGCTGCACACCAGCAGCAGCATTTGAGTTAGTTCGTCTGAAGCTACCTCTACACCACCTAATGGACTGGAAGGTGTGGATAAAAGTGCTCTGTAGACATATCTTCACCCTGCTTGAATTTGCTGTTCTTCCAGACATGCTGCAGTGCCTTTACTTAAGGTGTCACTACTGAAGCATGTTTTGAAAGCTTTGTCTACAGGCACAGAGAAGTAGTGCCAAGATGGCATGGGTGAAAAGGCAGACGCTCATTATTTTCCTTTGTTTTGTGCAATCTGTTTTCTGTCTGTATACTCATCCAACAAAACAGAACTTCTGATTCCACAAACATCATTTTGTAAGGCCCAGACAGATGTTTTCTGCTGGATCCAGCAGTGCAGTGAGGAAAGGGAGCTGCTGCCAGGCGCTCATCACTACCTCCTTCTTGAGGTTATGCACGCAACTGATCTGCTGGTGTGGCCATCTATGCAGACTTTTTCATCTGCTTTGGACAGCATCATCTGAGCCAGCTCAGACCAAATTAATTTTGTTCAAGCTAGTCTGGTTGACTTGTCTGAAATAGGTTAGGGACTGTTTGTGTATGATTCTTTGCTGAGAGATCACATATGTCATAGTCTTATGTTACCCTGTTTTACTAGTATCCTCTCTTACTAATGCTATATTTGTGTGAGATATGGAAATAGTAACTTTTGCCACCAATAAATCCAAAAGGGGGGTTGTTCACCTCCTCAGGGCACCAGACCCAGATGTCAGATTTGCTGTTGGCCCTGGAAAAGTGGTATCATGCCAGTCAAGGGGTAGGTTGAATTAGTGTTACAACATCTGATTTCTGCAGTATTTCTGCCATGAGGGGACAGCAGTGCATTTATAGTACGTAACTTGCATTTATGCGTACGCCTTATTGTATATCCACCATGCATATGCATACTGTCATGTAGCTGTATCAGATTTTCAGAACACCAAAAAGTATAAGTTTTCCAAGAGAAAATAAAATATGAAGCAGGGTTTTTTAGATTCAATCTCATGTTTTAACTCATGCTTGCAACCTCATGATAAGAAGTGTGTGTCCAGTCTTATCAAAAAGCTATGCAAAGCAGTTTATATTTCGTGTTTAAAATACAAATTACTAGTTTTAAGTGAAATGGAAACAGATTGAGGGGCTAATTGTAATCTTACTGATTTAAGAAAATCAGTTGAAAATGAGGCCCAATGGTGCTAGGTGACGAGCATTTTAGAGAAAAGGGGGGATGCCAGCATCTCTCAAGTCCAGAGCTGTTATTTTCTGAGTGACAGCTCCTTTACCTGAGATGCCATCTTCACAGCCATTTTCTCATTTCGGTCTCTGGATCCTTTTTCTTTCAGTGTAAGATGCTGTTATTAGGACAGCAATTAATTTGGGTTCTCTTTCTAGGGTAAAAACCACAGTAAGAAACTCCGAAATTACTATGCTGCCAATAGCTGTCCGGCACCTGCCAGAATGAGTAATTCGGTTGAGGCTGCCCCACCTCAGGTTGTCTCCCTTCCAGCTCAGGTAAGGCACAGGAAGGTGACTGAGATCATGCTGCTTACTTGTCACCTAACCCCCGATGAGAGTAACTAGATCTCACGCTCTGAGTGCTGCGGGAGCTGGCAAAGGATTTTCCTTGTGATGGCACAGAGTGGTGGAAACGGCTTGTTGTGAGCTATTTGCTTACCTTTGAAGATACAGGTATTGATCTGTCCTTGCAGCAGAACGTTTGGCGTGAAATGTTCTGTTTCTGCATGGCGAGTACTTTGATGCTTAAGTAAGTTCGATATGCTGCTGATTATGGTTGTTTAAGGGCAGGTATAAAACAGCATTCTTGGAGCTGGATTTGGACATGAGGGTGTGGCATCCTCTCTGCACAGTCATCCCTCCATTGTGCGGAGGGAAGCCTACATGGAAAAAGTGCTTTGGTGCTCCTACACCCATTGCCCAGGGCTGTTATCTAATCCCTTTTTTGTTGTGCCTTTTGCAGTGCTCATTCCTGTGTGTAGGGCGAATGGATGATTCCCTCGGTGATCCAGTAGAATTTATCACTTCTGATTGTCATGGGACTCAACAGCTAACCCGGCTCTTGCATGTGACTGTGCAGGGAACCACAGCTGGGCTGCAGGGATCGAAGCTGTGCCTGTCATTTCCAAAAACATAAGCCTCTGTTGTCCGTACAAAAGCAAAGAGCATTTGCCATAACTGGCAGCCTGCTGTACATGCTGTCAGAGCTGCCAGAGGGAGGGTCAGTCCCACCTGAAATAACTGCATCTCACAGAGCTGAATTGGGAGGGCGTGGGGTCCAGTCCTAGGTAGTGGGATGTGGGTGCTGTACCTGCTAGGGTATCTGGTGTGTTTTTTAATAGAGAAAGTGGTCCATGGCAATAAAAAGATCACTGGATTCATGTTGTAATGTAGAAGTCAGAATTGTGTGCATGTGTCTATAAGCTGGAAGAGTTTCAGAGGAGATGTGAAAGAAACTGGACTTGGCAGGTGCTGCAGTGACATGGCTGTATGAATCACTGCTGCTGCACTGTTTACTTTTCTCTGGATGATATACACTGAGGAAACGTGGTTGCTACCCCAATCAGTGTCTGGTCGCACTAGACAGGCAAGGTAGTGTTCATACGGCAGGAGCTACTCGTGTGAGACTGGATCCTTCCTCTGAAGTCTTGATCCAGATATCCTCCTACCTGAAGTGTAAGGATCAGAGGTTTGGCAGCTCTGCTATTGTTTGGTTTTGGTTTTATCTCTTAGCGTGGTCAGGGAGCTGTGTAGAGACACGCTACTGTGGAGACATTAGGTACACTGTAAGTAGGAGAGAGGAGCACCTTTACCTTTCAGTGGGTCTTCCTCAGTGTGAAGGTCACTGTTCATCAGCTCCCAGCAGTCAGGACTAGAGGAGTTAAACCACTGCTGTGAAGTAAACAAGCCTCTGTAGCTGTTGCAGAGGTACAGGGTGTTTGTTCAAATTGCTTTCCTTTCCATCTGAGGCCAGGGATTTGCCTAGATCTCAAGGAACTGGCAGATTCTCCTGGAGACTGAGGCAGGGAAAGTGCAATTCATGTAAGAACAGTCTGGGGAGTGCTTGAGAGCGTCCTAATCTGTATGCTCTAATTCCAGCTCTCTTGTTGCTTGCTGAAGATGATACTGATCATCTGTGATTCAAGTATTTCAGCAATTTAACCTTCTTATGTTTCACATGCTGTCTCTCCCTTTGCTGCTAGATGGGATCCAGTAAGCCAGGTGGCCGAGTGATCTTGGCCACAGAGAATGATTACTGCAAGCTTTGTGATGCCTCATTTAGTTCTCCGGCTGTGGCGCAGGCTCACTACCAAGGGAAAAACCATGCCAAACGGCTGCGTCTTGCAGAAGCACAGAATAACTCATTCTCGTAGGTATTGTTCGACTTCGTGCTCAGGCTGAAAGCATGTGGCAGTGTCTCTGGCAGTCCTTTTCTCATAAAACTCTAAATTGCAGCTGTTCGTATTTGTTTAATCTTCAGGGATGCATCAGAACTAGGCAAACGGAGGGCAAGGAAAGAAGGGAATGACTATAAAATGATGCAGAACAGAAGAAATATGTATACAGTTCAAAACAACACAGGTAACCGGGAGCTTGCATCTGTTCTATGGTTGGAATAATAATAAATAAAAAACAGACTTGTTTTTCTTCTGTTTCTGAGGTCTGTTTTAGCAGAGACAGGTTGTGAAAGGAGCTGGTCTTAGCTCTGCTGATCCTTCATGTCTGCATGTTTTCTCCCAGCTGCTAAAGTTGCTTTGTTTTGTCAGTCTGCTCGTTAGTTTGGTTTCTCAGTTTGTAACTTAATTTACCATCTGCCTGTCTCTAAGGCTGCTCTAAGTGGTGACAATTTTCCTGCTTTATTTCCTTGGCAAGTGGCCAGCTGCTTTGACTCCTACTGTAGCACATCAACCTGTACTTGCACTCCTATGACCAGAATGAGAGAGTTTGTTAGCCTCCCTCTAAGACCATCTGTTCCTAGAGTCCTTCCTCAGATGTTAAATACTAACTTTGCCTCTTTACTATGATTTAAAGTGTCTTTTATAGTGTCCAGCCCAGTGTCTATTTCTCTTTTTTTAATTTTAAGTTGTGTTGTGAGCACTTATTAGCTGAAACCCTGATTCCTGGTGAAGCTTGGTTTAATCATGTCATTCTAACCACTGTCATGTGGATAAGAGAAATCTTTTACAGTTCTATTAAATACGATTTTGTGATCATTTTCAACTGAGGCAGCTTATTCCAGTCAAAAGACTGTTCTAATTATGGAATTGGAGGTTTAAGAAAAAAAAAAAAAGTCTTGACTGATCACTTACATGATTAGGCTCCTAATTTTCAAAACCCTATTGATTCTTAATAAGACCAGGGCACTAAGCCCACTCTACTGCTTTAGAAAATACCGGCAAGTACTGCTCCCCTATGTGCTACACACTTGGATCTCAGTGGAGAGGTTGTGTGGGAGAATATGGTTCAGACTCTAAACAGTTAAAGAAGCTAATCTTTGGCTGCTTTTTGTAAAAATTGTTGGACTTAGAGGCAGCTCAGTGACAACTTCTAGCTTTTCTTTGTTATAGGTAAAATCAGTTTTTCTGTTGTCTCCTCAGGTCCCTACTTCAATCCCCGCTCACGCCAGAGGATTCCTCGGGATCTGGCCATGTGCGTCACCCCCAGTGGCCAGTTCTACTGCTCCATGTGCAACACCGGGGCCAGCGAGGAGATGGAGTTCAGGCAGCACTTAGAAAGCAAGCAGCATAAAAGCAAGGTGTCCGAACAGCGGTATAGGAATGAGATGGAGAACCTAGGCTATGTACAATGATGCGCCACCCTTGGTAGTAGTTTGCAAATAGAGCAGCTTGTCTCTCGCCTGCTGTTTGCCACATGCCCTGCTTTGTGCTCCATTTGATAGGAGTATGCTCTCGAGCTATACATGTAACACCTGCAAACTTAATGGTATGGTTAGATTTTTTTTCTATCATAGTTGGCAGGATGACGCTGTGCAGGACATGAAGTGTTTTTGATGTTTGTTTGCTAATTATCTAAGGCTCTTCATTGTATTGAGTGGTGGGGAGGACTTTATGTCTTCTCCCCAGCCTTCTGCATGAATATGCAAAGCCCAAGAAGTGCTGGGAACTTCTGTGGTTCTACCACACAGGTGGACCATGTGCAAAGCCCACTCCCCTCTTTGCACACCACAGAGCAGTGCTCCAGAATGCCTCCCTACAGCAAACTGAGTCTCTGGGCAGCTTGTAAAGAAGAGGCAGGAACGGGGCCTGTGAGTGTGTGAGTTAGGTGATGTACTTGTCCACAAATTGCTGCTTTGGCCCCTGTTAGAGCCCAGAGTAAGTTCTTTACACATCCCTGTAGAAAGACTGTGCATACCTCTCCTCCTTGGAGGGCCGTGGCTCTTACCACTTCCTGTGTGATGCAGATTTTGTTCTGAAGATCTGACATTGGATACCAGCTGATTAGCCACATCCAGAAATACTCTCTTCTACCAGTTAACAATGAAAAAAGATTCTCAGTGCTGTTGGCTGGGCACTTTAGTGCACCATGGGTATAGCTCATCTCCATGAAGAGAGTCTGCAGGGGTCTCGGTGGCTTAATGAAGTGAATTGGAAAGCAGACCTGCTCAGATGAGATATGCTCTGCTCTAATTCTGCCTTAAGACTGGGTGATGTTGAGAATAGGTTGGAAGGAGCTGTCAGCTGTAATTTCGTTGCGTACTGATGTAGAAGAGAGCAAGTGTTGGTCTCCGGCCTGCAGCTCTGTTCCTCTGGGAGAACAGGGCTCCCTGGACCTTGGGGAGCAGACAACGGTATGTCCCGCTTCCCTGCCATTCCCTGGACAAAACCCAGTGGGTTATACAGGAGAGGTGAAATGCTGTTTTGGACTAAAGCTACCAATATTGGATAAATTTTTTCCCCTATTTGTTTTCCCATCTCAGAATGGATTTTAATTCCATTCTTTGATGTGGACTTCATTGTTTTAGGGACCATCAAAAATCAAAAGTTAGATAGGATGTAAACATCAGAGGTGATGCTTGTTTGAGTAACACCTTTTTGGCCACGTGGAAGTATTCATGACACTTTGTAGTATTCAAACAACTTCGTAAGTGTAGACAAACCCAAAGGGTGGGTGTCTATTTTGATCTTCCTTAGCAAAAGTAGAAAGGAGAAGTAGGGCTAGCATTTATTTTTCTGCTCATTTGGGTAGATGTGCAGAGCTGTGATTGGAATCCAGGTCACAGTGTTTCTAAAACATTGGCTCCAGTGGCAAGCGCAGCACGTAGGCAACCTCTGTTGGACCTGATTCACCACTGTGCTGCTACGGCTGTACGCTGGTATAGCTTCATTGACTGCAGTGGCAGGTGCAGAGAGGGGGTAAAGGAAGCACCGTGGCTTGTCTCTTGCTCCTCTTTAGGCAGTAGGTTGAATTAGATGCAGCTCCACTGGTTTCGGTAGTATTTTACTAGGGATAAATTTTACCTCGTGAGTAAAGCTGAAGGTAGCTCCCCCATCTCCTTTTTTTGCCATTCTGATCCTGTCTCTTGCATTCCAGAAGGATTTTCTGCTTGCCTTAAAAAATAAAAAATGAGTAAACTAACAAAAAATCCAGGTAGTTTTTATTCATATCTTTCTAGTCTGCCTCAAAAAGGTTTGTTGCACTTTGCGGCTCCTCAGAAGCCAAGTATGGTTATCTTTAGCTACCTGAGCATCAGGTAGCCATACAACCTTGACGCAGCCTTCCTAAATCCAGCCAAGGTGAGCTCTTGCACAGTAGTTGAAAGCAACCCCCTACATCATTCTGTGCTGATCCTTGCCCTGCAGATACAGGCAGAGCAATGGACATCCTCTTGAATGGGATTCTCTCCCCTCCTTTATGCAAAGCCCAATTAAATAGGGTTTGTGCACTGGAGCAGGTTAAAAGGTAGGAGGACAGGTGCCCAGGTTGCAAGCACTAACTGAGCAGTTTTGACAGCCTGTAAGTCAGTTTCTTCTGTGCTTTTCCTGCCCCTGGCTCACCCTCTGAGTGGCCTTGAAGAACATTCCCCTTGCAAAAAATCCCATCGGCCTTTTCCCCTCATCTTTTGCGGTCAAAGAAGTCTGGTTTTCTCTTTGTATTCTCTCTTTTGTTTTGCTAGTCAGACACCACTGTGCAGGGACAGAGGGAGCTGGATGAGCCTTACCATAGCGTGTTTCAGCAGAGTGATCCCTGCATGATGGTTAAACATCCCTTCTGCCTTAAAGAGTGGCATTTCCCACAGGCTGCAATTAGTAGCAGAAGAACAACACTGGGTAAGAGAAGAGCTGGATGAGCCGTAGGTACTGGTGTTGTCTAATTTATTGCTAGGACCAAGAAGGCATTTTTGTCTGCATTCATCTGTCCCAAAAATCAACTGCTCACCATTTCGCTTTGGTTGCTGCCCCCGCTCCCAGCCCAGCAATCTGCTCCTGATTTGGCTTTTCCAGTGATTGCTGGAGGTATCAAAACTCAGTTTGCTCCATGTGCTGTTACCTCCCGGTAACAGCCAGTGCAAACGTGCTGCAGTGTGCTGGTGCATTTGGGAGGGTGTGTGAGGGGCATGCCGGGGGCTGTCGCTGCCAGCTCCTCTGTGCCTGGGGCTGAGTCTGGTTGTATGGGATGGCTGGAGTCTGCCCTGAGCAGAAAGGCCCGTAGCTGCTTTGTTTTATTCAAGGGGATATAAGAAGTGCATATCACCCTGAGAATTTCAAAGTGGTGGGTTATGTAGCAGATATAAAGCAGACAGTGGGACTCAAGCAACAAGAGTAGACAGGTTTCCTACACGGAAGGAAGGATATATCTTGCTGGGAGGAGCGGCTGAGACTTGCTTTGCACCAGTGCTCTGTTGCGGCCCTTGCCTACAACTGACCAAAGCTTGCCTCTCCCCCTTCAGCATCGCTTAAGGGTTTGTGATCTTAGCACTCTCCCTCCAGCACAGAAGATTGTTGACTGCAAAGAGAAAACATCCCACCTCACTAATATTAGGGTTCAGGCCTATCCAAACTCATACCTGTCAGCATGAGAAACTGTGTAGATCCTGATTTTATTTTTTGTGTGAAAGCTGTTCTCCAAATGAGTGTTCAAAACACATATTGAAAACACGTTTTGGCCAAACCCTATTTGACGTAGGTGGGCTAGGGAGAGTACTGTACAGCTGTAGTACCAGTTTCCAGACCCATTGAATCTTTTTTTCATGTTAAAGTACCAAACCCAAGAAACAGGACTTCTGTGAAGCTGTCACATTGGCCAGTAGGTTAATGACCTTTGCTGCTAGAAACAAAATATAAATCAATGTGTTCGTATTTATTTGACTGTGCTGACCGCTAATTGATTTGTTAATATTTAAGGCATTAGTCTGTAGGTTGTTTTTGTTTTAATAGAAAACTCTACATTGCACTTTGCTTTTGGATCAGAACAGGTATTTATTATGTTTGGAAAATGTTTTCCATCCCACATATGTATTGTTTGCTTTCCCTTGATGAAAAAAAACACGAACAACAAAGCCCCAAATCCAACCAGTGGGTCGTCTTTGTTTCTTTTCATGCTGAACAAAACGGGGATTTCCTTGCAACTCGCTCTTAAATGTCCATTTTTAATTTTTTTTTTTTTTCTCCAATGATTGTTTTGGTAACCTGGGATGATATTTTTAGAGACATGTGAAGTTCATACTACATTTAAGCATTTCTTTGAAGGCAAGGAAGTAAACTATGTGGAATCTATGAATTTATGAGGAGAATGGAAGTGATATTATTTTGTTTGTTTTAAGCATTATTTGCTATTTTGCATTCTGGACTAATGAGTAAATGTGTTATAATCTTGCCTAACATTGGTCTATTTTTGACTTTTGCTTTCATCATGTACATCAGAAGAGGAACCCTGAAAACTTCTGTGGAGTTGTTTAGGATGGTCATCAGTGTAACAAAATGCAGATTTTTTTCTGTAAAGCTTCTTGTATTTTTTCCTTTTCTAGGTGCCCATTATAGGGCATTAGAAGGGAAAGCTGTTCCCATAAGCACGGATTCATATTTTAGCTTACTAATGCATAACGTCCTTTCGCCACATTACTTTGGTAATGCGCTCAGTGTAACCAATAGGAATCTTGCCCAAGTCAGGAGTGAATAAAATACTCTAGCTAAATACATTATTTTGGCTAGGGCTAGGCAAGGTACTGTGCTAAAATTTGTCTTTTACTCCTATGTTTGGGTTACGACATTCTTACGGTTTTGCTTTTTGAGGAATGTGTATCTGGTTCTGTAGGGATTTGGTCCTGCTCCGGTTAAAATAGTTTGAAGTACATTGGATTTAGTTGAGTAGGAGCAAGCCTTTAAACCCTTCAGGAATTTCACACTGCTGATGTTTTCTCATATATGTGTTTTTTGTTTTGTGTTTTTTTTATAAATTTTACAACCATATATACAAGAATGCTCTGGATGAGATGGATATCTGTTGCCAATTCAAATGCTGTGGTTGCCAAAGGATTAACAGAAAATGGAGAAGTATGGATTGGTTGCTTTGAAGTTAGTGGCTAAGCTCCTATTGTTTTGAGCTGGGCTGGCTTCTTTGCCATCTGCATAAAGTTAGAAGTGAGAATAAAATCCACTTTCAAATAAACAGGATTGAACGGTAGTTTTGGGAATCTCTCTTTTGAACAATATCTTTTTATCTGAAGTATCTGCTGGTAAAGGTAGGACTGTGGATTTTTAAAAATAAAATCAGTTCTTCAGTCTGTTTGGCAGGGGAAAAATTACTTGATTTAATTTCATTCTGCATCTGTCCAGCAACATCATTTGCAAGTGCTTTGAACGTGTTTCATCTAGAGCCTTCTTGTCAGGTTGGTTTTGTACATTTGTCCTTATTTTCTTTATATTGTACTGACCCCTGTGAGGGAATAGTTGATGAAAATGATTTTTCTTTTTCTTTTTTTCTTCTTCAGTATATAATAAATCATCTTGCTCTTATCATTGTACAGCCTTAGTGTTTGGTATTGCTACTGCTCATGATATGGCTGGACTGTGCCTGACTGAGTTGATTTTAGCCTAACATTGAATGTGACTCCATGAGTAATATGTTTTAATGCACTGATAAAGGAG